CCCCTCTGCCCGCAGCTGCCACCAGCTTACCCCTCTTTCGGTTTTTATTTTGACGTCATCATTTTGAGTTTAAATACAAATAAGGGTTTACATGTTATATTAATAAAGATGTAGCATATATACAAAATATGGGTTGGTAGCAAATATGAACAGTGTACATTTTAATAGAAGAGTATGATCTTATAAAGTATCGGCTCTAACTAATTGTAAGATATGTGAAATATACTATAAGTGTCATTATTATACAGTTTAAAATATAATATATATATATATATATATATATGTGTGGTGATGTATCCAGTCGACTTAAACTGTGGTGTGTTATCCTTTCGACTCTCGCTATACTGTGTTAACCGAGAGGAACAGTCAGGATGTGGAGAGTTTTCCAGTACCTCTCTGCACCTTGGAAGACCTTTAACAATTCTCACAGAGTACAGTCAGTCGTGGTCGAGGCAGAGTGGAAAGCTTGGAAATTCCCACAGCAAAAAACGGAGACACAGTTGCACTAGGAAAGTTCCGTGAACAGATAAAAGTTGAGCTAGAAGCGAAAGATGGAGAGACAAGAAGTTTTCTTACTGATCTACGGCATGGTCGAGCATCAAAAGATGAAGTGACGAGGGCTCCCGCTGATGGTGAAGTGACTATCAAGTGACTGTATTTTCGGCAAGGGCGGAGGTCTTATATATCTTTGCCGAGAGAGGGAGTATTGAATTACAGCGGATGCAACAAGAGCGTGGATCTGAAGCAAAATTGGACACTGGCGCCGCCCTGACAGTTCCCTATCTTTAGATGTTGTTGGACTTCCATCTCAATCTCTTGCTTTAGCTTAACTCTTAATCTATTACATAGTTTTATTTATTTATCCTCAGTTTGTACAAAGTACATTACATATGATGATGTAATGACACATGTCAATAATGCGTATAATCATTTACAGATGTGTTTAAGATTGTTAGTTCAAATTACCATATATATTATTACCTACACTGAGGTATAACCTAAGTATAGGTTAAATACTCAAGGACAAAACTTAAGAAAGTGAAAAGTCTTTGATATTGCCAGTCGCCTGTTTTTTTTTTTTTTTGAAGGAGACAAAGACAATTTTTTTCACCCTCGGTGCTATTGTGCGTCTTCAATAAAGGTTACTGTAACATCTTTCAGAGTTATTGTCTGAATCCCGATATACATGCCAAAAGGTATAACTTCCTTAAGTTTTGTCTCCATAAGTGTATATCTTATTTAGCATAGAATATATATATATATCACTATTATGTATACTCAGATACAACCCGATCTGCAGTTGTTACTGTGAAAATTTCCCTTTTTATAAATAAAAAATTTGTCTTACCAATTGTGGGAGTATTCTTCCGTCAGCACTATCTTTGCTAAAACATACAAAATCAAGAAAAAAAGCCTCTAATCGTACAACTAGAAGTTGCTAATCGCCTGCGCCATCTGTCGTAATGAATATAAACTAATCGTTGATTTTTAGTTATTCCATAATATCGGTCAAATACTCTTTCTGGAATAATCAGGGTTGGCTTTTCATGATTTATGAATAACTGGCAGCATCGTTTTTGACGTCCAGATATTGTTTGATCAATATAGGATATCTAACCCTGTATGTAAACTTCTTAAATTATTCAAAAGCTGTGGTTCTTTTAAGATTATCTCTTTACCGAAAGCTTATTGAAGAGATACAAGACTTACCATTGCCGTTTTTCTTAATTCGAAACAAAATTTCAAACATACAATTTGTTTAATAAAAGTATTCATTTTTTCAGCTTATTCATAATACAATAAATATATATATCTTTATTTTAAATTAATATGCTTTTAATAAAATACAAGATTATCTATATATTATATGCAACATAAAGTTGCGGGAGGATGATGTTCATGTACCGAAAATTGGCATCTCTCCCTTTAATTATGCATCAGAACGATGCAGTTGTTCATCACCTGTACCAGTGCTGGTAAAGAATGAGATACAACACTAGTTTCAGCAAATTCAGACAAAACCCCAATCTGTATACCATGGTTTCGGGCTATGGCCCTCATCAGTACAGGTACGGCTTCGATTTAATAGCATCCTACGAAAGAGGTTATGAAATGAGTCGAATTTACCAAACAGGTGTTTAAGCTGATGAAGTGGTAAGGGCCGAATTTTAGGCAAGAATACAACATAAAGTTGCGGGAGAATGATATTTATGTACCAAAAAGTGGCACCTCTCTCTTTAATTAATGTATCAGGTGTTGTGGCTCATTATTTATCATCACTAGTAAAGTTCTTTACTAGGGTGATGAACAAGTGCATCGTTCTGACTTCTAATTAAAGGGAAAGATGCCTCTTTTTTTGGTACACATATATTTTATATAATAAGCTAACTTATCAACCAATTGTGAATGTAATTTCACACATTTTACTTGGGAAAATCATTGTTGCTTGGAAGGAAAACAACCAAAACAAAATGTGTTGGTTAGTGAAGACCAGCATGAATTATTCAAACCTTTGTTTCAGAACCGTTGATTGACGACTCAGTAAACAGAGGCATCAATCAACCTCCTGATGGATCATACACCTGCCAGGAGTGAATAACACATGAAGCCCTCATCAACAGCTCAAAATGTCCCCATAAATGATTCAATATAAAACATTGATTACAGTTCTTCTTGATGATACATCTGGAGGGAGATAATGGTTTCACTTCCGTATCATACAGAATACATCCTTATCTTCTTTTTCTCCAATGTCTTCTTGCTTCCATTCTGAGACCTTTAATATGGCCAAGTCAAACTTAAGCATTTTCTGCTATTTGTTAACGAATACGTGAAGAATTCCAGAAAACTTTATGATATGTATGTATACATATATATTCTCACAATTTGATTCGATTTAATATTCCAAAATCATACTCAAACATTCTTAATAAAATTTTAGTCAAAATTCGATACTGAAACTTTGATGATAGTTCTCTTATAGCCACTAACATGTGTTGTTTATTAAATATATTTTTAGGATTCCGTTTTCGGAATGCATTCGCACGAATTGGGAAGATCCAGCATTAAATATTTGAAAATATATATCACTGATCATTTTTAAATCTTCCAATTAGCCGAGGAGAGGCTGATTATTGAAGAAATGTATTTCTATTCTTCGTTCAGTTTCTCTGCTCTGGAGTAGGCCTCTAGAAGCGCCATGTGTCTCTATACTTTGCTCGTATCTCCTTATTTATTCTTTCATAACTCCTCATCGGTCTAATTCTTCCTACCATTCTCGCTCCATTCATTTTACCCTCCAAAAACTTCTTCATTAATCAATTTCATCTTAATATAGTATACCCCATCCAAATCTTGTGTCTTTTTCTGATGACTTCCTCAACATGCTTTATTCTTTTCTAAATCTTCTCAAGATTTCCTGATACTGTCAATCTATCTCTATCCATCTTCTTTCAGATTCAAATTTAATATTCATCCTATTTTCTTTCCTCAATATTTCTCTTTGACCACTATAGTTCAAATAACCAACCGGAACTATATTAACCCTCTAGACATCAAAGTTAAGATGCTGTTTATATATTCATTCATGCAGTACACACTTACCTTAAAAGATAAATAATGCTTTCATCATGTTTAACTTAGTACGCAGCGACACTCTATTATATATGTTGTGCATAATCCAAATTTATACCGCGTCTATATAAATGTTCTAACTGAATATGAAATTAATTTTGTAGAAAGATAGAAGGTATCTCGAAATTTTCTAGTAAAAAATGAAACACCATAATGTTGTTATCATGTTATTCCTAACACTCTACAACTTGCTACCTGGTAATTTGAAACCGATGAGGATTCGGCGAAATATTTAAGCTAAAAGGTGAATTTTAATTTTAAAAGACGCTATATTTCTATTTTTATAAATAGCTATATATAGAACATATTTAATATATTCCTTGTTCCAAAATCACTTTATTAGGTACCGATTAAAAAGAGCAACCTAGTTTATGATATTTGAAGCAATGAATAATATATGTGAAGGTTATTCACATATTAAAACAAAGGGTTCAACTCGGGATCGATCACGATTCATGGCTGTCGGGAATCGAGGTGTTACCCACTCATCCACTGAGTCTTCTTATTTAATATATTAAGCGGTATCAAGGTTAAATTATCAGGCTTCCGGGGATAACCTTCTTTTAAAACATTTTAATTTACAAATCTCTGGTTTTCGGGTACGAAAGTCCTTTTACAAAAGAAGCTTCGCCCTATTTTTTTTCCGCAGTCATAATTATAGACTCATTGTTACATTGAAAAGGTAAATGTTGTCCAGCTTAATGTTGTCTAGACTGTGCTTATGTGTACAGGAAACAACCAGAAGACCACTACCTCCACCGTGGTTTCTAAGGTAAGAAATGTTCACTGTTATTTCTCATTGTGCTTGAACAATGTTGAAATGGTTAGGATTCTTTTTGCATCGTTCATGTTCAGGATGTCTAAACATGGTATGTATTTAAATAGCGTGCCTCTAACCACCGTGCTACCAATTCAGTCTTTGTATTGACCATCTGACTTGACCATCTAATTCTCGACTCGAAGCAGTTCAAAGAAAAATTTCCGGATCACTACTACCCCAGCTATAGATATTGGTATGTACTGCATACGAGAGATCGACAATAAAATCTCTCATATTCCTATTTTTCGAAACCAATTCGACCTAAGTATGTTTGCATATTGATTTTTTTTCTGAATATTGTTGTTGTTGTATCCAAAGAAAAGCCTCAGATGTCTCCATGCATCTCCATCATAGCAGCAGCAATGGCCACTATCTTGAGTGTGTAAAGCTGCTGCTCTGGGTCTATGTCAATTTTCTGCAAGGCTGCGGCCATTGCTGAGCATGAGAATATGTGAGTAGGTGTTAGTTCCACACCAGGACAGTTGTTGCATGCCCTTTCTGAATATTGTGATTCCAATATAATATTATAATTGATTTCGAATATTCTTGATTGAAGCCGGAATTTTGAACCAGCGACCTAAGGATCACTGCTATACATCCAAAGTCCTCCGCTTTGCCTAAGAATAAGCATATTTACGCCTGATCTAAAAACATTTCCAAGTACAAATCAGCCTGGCTACATTTGATAAACTGGATGTCCACCATTAGACGTTAAGCCCAAAGACCAGCCCGGTTAGTTGGCGACTTTAGTACGTGGAGGCTCCATACCCCATGGTTATCTCAAGAGAGAGAGTCCGCTCTGCCAACTGAGCTTTCGAGGGTTATACACAAGAGTCATTTATTTCTTTCACAATCAACACAAATGTTTGTGAACTCTTAAGAGCATACATTTTCTGGACGCACACCGCATACTCTATATCTGACCAATAAACGATCGCTCTTACTTTAAGGTAAAAACCTTTCTTTCAATACGACGATTTTATTACGACGAAGTTGTAGATACCAATCAGCCTGTGGCAGGTAGCCTCCTTTGTTTCTATTTAACTGCATGTAAAGAACAGAACGGAGCTAAGACATCAGCCATGATACCAACCAGGCTGTGGCAGGTGGCCTCCTTTGTTTCTATTTAACTGCATGTAAAGAACAGAACGGAGCTAAGACATCAGCCATGATACCAACCAACCTGTGGTCGCAGGTGGCCTCCGTTGTTTCGCCAATTAACTACATATAAAGAACAGCACGGAGCTACGATAGCAGCTACCGGGATACCAACCAGCCTGGGGTTGCAGGTGGCCTCCGTTGTATCGCCAATTAACTACATATAAATAGAAGCACAGAGCTACGATAGCAGCTACCGTGATACCAAACAGCCTGGGGTTGCAGGTGGCCCCCGTTGTTTCTATTTAACTGCATGTAAAGAACAGAACAGAGCTAAGACATCAGCCATGATACCAACCAGCCTGTGGTCGCAGGTGGCCTCCGTTGTTTCGCCAATTAACTACATATAAAGAACAGCACAGAGCTACGATAGCAGCTACCGTGATACCAACCAGCCTGGGGTTGCAGGTGGCCCCCGTTGTGTCGCTACTTAACTAACTAATATAGAATCTATCGTGATAGTTATAGATACTAACCAGCCTGTGGTCACAGGTGGCCCCCGTTGTGTCGCTACTTAACTAACTAATATAGAATCTACCGTGATAGTTGTAGATACTAACCAGCCTGTGTTCACAGGTGGCCACCTCCCCGCTGGAACGACGTGTAGAAGCCAGGGAGTGGCTGATCAAGCCACGGTCTCCCAGCACCAGCACCCTGTGCGAGATCTTCTAGCCGGACCTCCAATATAGGAACCATTAAATCAACATAGTGTATAAGGAATATAACACCAACCTCTATGTTTTCACCCAATTAGCAAATCAATGTTTTTAATTAATTGATTAACTTGGCCACTATGTTTGATGCACTTTATGGCATTGAGTTGCACCACCGTATTGTACGATGACTTTTTGGGTTGGTCAATATTCGAATATATTTAATACCAATTTATTTTTCGAGTATATTTTCGATTTTCTGTAAATTTCACCTCAACAGATTCACAGTCGACACAATTTTATACAGAAAGTCGTTGTTTCTTCAGATTTCAAATGTTTTTCTTATTCCACTACAGGAAATTCTAAGTTAATATCCCGGGATATTTATAGATCTTATTGCTTAAAACATAAGTGAGCGAAACATTGTGCTAAATTGAACTCAAAATTTGGAATACCATTCAATGGTGCATATTTCTTTCAATAATATCATCAGGACATTTTAAACGTTCATCTATCGAAATAATTATTGTAAATCTGATATATATTGGCTTGGTGCATGCAACTTCATCTGTCTTTATCGTAATTTTCAAATGGATTTTGATAACCTATTCTCTATAGAATATAAAATTGAAAGATAGAATGTTTTGGATGTGAAATAATGAATGCTCGGATTCTGAAGGAATCCTACCCTATTGCCCGAATCCTTCGAAAGAATTCAAAATTTTACAAGAAAGTTTGTATTTAATTTCAAAAAGATTTGCCATACCTCTCTGTCACAAGCGTGAGCGCTACTTTTATTTTTTATATAAAACTTCAGCTCTAAAAATTTACAGGGTATTGTGAGGAACCATTGCTTCCATAAAGAACCAAACTCAAGGAAAGTATTTAGATTAGAGGCATCCTCTGTTTGTACAGAATTATTGGAACACGTTGTTTTAACACCAAGGTAATAATATATAGACTATATATTCCCTAACAGACTTTCTAGTGTTAACAAAAAACAGTCGAAATATATACCTATACATTGAGGTATTTACCAATTTCAATAACTAATTTATTTATAGCATTAAGCAACATCAATTACAGTCTTCTCTCTTTACAACAACCTCACGAGATAACGGACAAAATGGCGAGTCCCTTCAAGGTTACCTTGATATTGAAACCATACTTTATAAATGACATGCCATATAACAGACAAATTGGCTGATTTCTTGTGGAGGCTGTGGTGGTGTATTGTCCTTCAATGGAAAGGGGGAGTGCCAATGTCCCGTTAGTCAGCCACATTTCAGTGTTCCATGTAGGCCTTTGCGGTTACCGTAGCGGCTCGGGGCTCACGAAGTACGGTGGGGACTTCGTTAGCCCCGAGCCGATACGGTAACCGCAAAGGCCTACATGGAACACTGAAATGTGGCTGACTAACGGGGCAATGGCACCCCGCCTTTCCATGGAGGGATAAGACACACACCACGATAGTCTCCACAATAAATCAGCCAATTTGTCTGTTATAGGGTATGTCATTTGATTTCTTGTGGAGAGGCTGTTAAATGGAGTAGACTGTATTATAAAAAATGTTGATTCAGGTTAATAACTCGATACACAAATGTTTCCCAAGCCATTTCATTCTTGAATGCGATATCCATTAGGACGTACCATTCTACCAGTCCTACCATTTTCATTCTGGAATTTTTATAAAAGTCTACTTTTCGATATCACAAAAAGATATTGAAACTCAATAATTAATCTCATAAATGCTAATATTAAGCTTAATCAGTTGAATACAAGTATTTTCTCTCTTTTTACAATATTTTCTATGCCTTTATAATATCTTTAACTTTTATGTAAGCATGTGCTGTGTGTAATCTTCTACATTTTTCAAATCTATATTGAGAGACTTCATACACGAAAATCTTAATTGTGTACGATTTGATACTAGCTCTGATTCTCATATCCTCGATGTCGGCCTTATACGAGTTGTGTCTGCTTTCCTTTGTCCCCAGTGAGTGGGTGCACGTGCACCCCTCATCCAAACCTTGGTTGTACGACATGTGTTTAGATTAGATGTGATTCCATTCCACAAAAGAAAGATCCCGACATTGTAGATGTTGCCAAATCTTCATTACACATGTGCAAATTATGGTAAAAACGACGAGAAGAGACCGAGAAAGATTCTTAAAACTCTCTAATATGTTTTTGTATTACCTCTAGTACACGTGGTACAGGCCATGATAATCATGGTGGGTAGAAGTTGGTGACTGACTTTAATGTAGGTGCACCACATTTCTACACATGTGAGAAGCAGTTCGACTTTTGCACTAACAAATGTGCAAGCCCCGTTTGGTTACTGCTACTTGCTGGTGGGGTTGGACTTTTGCAAGAATCGGGGGCTATTGGAGCATTTTTTTTAATTAGAAAAGGTTCCCAATACGGGATTCAATCCCGGGTCGTAGCGGTCGAAAACCACCCTTCCGCCAGCCTCCTTATGATAATTAAAGTGAAGATGGTTCTATAAGTGCACTACATGTCTACACAGGTAGAAAGCCATCCACAAATGTGCCAGAACACCCCGTTTCATTACTTTCATTCACTGGTGTGGTTGGACTATCGCAAGGTTTTGGGCCATGGAAGCAATTTTTCTTTAGAAAAAAAGGTGTCTAATGTGGGATTCGATCCCATGTCGTGGCTATCGGAAAGAGACAGTTGTACCACACCGACACAATAAGCAATATAAACACAGCGATAGAGATACCGTAGTCTATACGTCTATATAACACGATTGTATTTACGTATATATATATATTATCCTTCTCTAAATACAATACTACCTAGAGAAGACAGGTTAGATTCTATCTTATAAATCCACCAGCTAGACACGCAATATGAAGTAATTATTCAATGTTTTATGGCAGAAAAATTCAGGTATAAGATTCCTTCTAGGTGGCTTCCCCGTGTTATATATTTAAAAAAAAACAATCTTCTTTATTGAATTACAAGGTTTTTTTTTTAATTTTTCGTTTATATTTCATTAAATTTGTTCCTTTTTGAAGATTTAGAAATATATATTGCTATAATTCTATAAAATAATCCCTTGCATCAATATTGAGTAGAATGAATCATTCATCCAGGGAAAAGTGTTTTTTAAAACATTTTTATTTTCTCTAGCATCCGGGCACGGACGCCCTTCTACAGGAGAAAACCTGGTATAATAATTATTATACGATATAATAAAAATGTTTCGTAAAGACACTTTTCCCTGCAGGTCTGATTAATTTTACTCAATAATGCTATAAGAGACTTATTTTAAAACTCTCAATATTCCATATAAAATGTTGAAAGTAGAAATATACAGTAACCGACTCCAAGATGCTCCATGCTTACCCTTTGTAACAATTAGTTTCAATGAACGTTCCGATTTTTTTAGTTCCATTTCTAACTTTGTGTTGAGAAGCAATTTTTAGTATTTATAAACAAAACACTCTCTTTATATCCTGAGTTTACTTCATGGACGGTTATCAACGCTACCTATTTATTTTTGTTAGCCACTCTTGTGTTGCTAGAAGTTAATTGATAAGTTTGATTACAATATAGATATTTCCAACACAAAAAAATACTTGTATAAATGGATCAATATTTAATATAATAAGAGATCAACTCATATCAAAATTTCCCCGAAATATCTGCTATCTTCCCTGGAGATACGTAGCAGATGTTTTCGATATGTTAATCACTAGCTTAGAGATGATGCAAAACCAGCACATTGCTATACGCTAAACACGTGTACATTGACAGACCATACAGCTACATATGTAAGAAATTAAAGCATTGAAGCATT